GTTGAACGCAGCGATCCAAAGACCGCAGCACAGGCAGATCCTCTGGCTGCAGCCAAGCGCGAGTTCATGGTTGGATCCCCGAGCATCGACAATGTGCCTCTGCGAATAGGAACAAGATGAGGCGGATTTCAGGATGGACGCGCAAGGCGACTGCAACAGAACCGGGGCCTCTCCAGCCCACATAGCAGTGATCCATATCCTTCAGCATGATATTTTTTACTTCAGTCCCCTCGTTCGTGTCTTGTCTTCGTATTGAGGAAAATGACGTCCACCTGTTGTTCTCCGATCGTTGTTGCATCTATCAGGTTGTGAGGGCAGCGACTTCTGGGTGCATGTCCGGAACCCATACAACGCAAATGTTCGACCCGTATTGCTTCCAGAATGAAATGAGACGCTGGGCATCGGCGTACTGGGGGGAAACCTTTCCGAAACGATGCCTTAACGTGTCGGGGCCTTCGCCGGAGTGTCTGGATGCTGCGACGGTACGCGAGACAAGTACAAGATCTCCAAAAAATTTCTGCATGCCTCTGCATCGTCGCTGAACGGCACACCGGAGACAAGAAGATCTCTGCATTTTTTCCAGAGCCACGATGCAGCCGCGAGTCGTTGATCTTCTTTGTTGCGTGGTGCAGATCGTAGAAACCAAAGCGAAGAGTACACCGGGAGTTTCTCCACACGCTTGTTGACATAGGCACCGCTGAGACGAGTCAGAAAGGGTAAAAGATCCCGGAAGGTCTTTGCCTCTCTCATCTCGTCGACAAGTTGTGTAACAGCAACGTGGTCTTCGGAGTTCACTTGACTAGTTTTGGTCAGAAATAGTACGGAGTGTGAGGGAGTGTAGAAAATGGCAAGATGAGCATCTGGATGACCAGTTGTCAAATAAAGAGCCACCGCGTCGAGGATGGCTAGAGGAACATAATCGGTAGGATCGCGGACTGACACGCTCCGAGAAACGAAGCTTCTTCAGTAGCCACAATTTCTCCCTTGAGACGAGCTTGATGCTGTGCTGCGCTGGCCATCTGAGAAATGTCGAACACAAACTGGCTGTGAAGAATTTAGGGCACGTTCAAGGCGGCAACCACGCCCACGCCAGGAAAGTATCTGGAGAAAGTTAACCAATAGGTCGATTTGTCATTGTCCGGTCACAGATTAGATTCCTGATCACAATCAATCTCTAGCGAGGCATGGCCGTCGACGGCCATTGAACGCTGCAGCGTCAACTGACACATCGCCGCTGCTGCCGCCGCCCACAACGTCTCCCAACGTGTTACGTCTGGCAACACTTTTTCACTCTTCAGAAAGTAAATAACTATCGGACAATTGACATCCATGATCGGTGATGCCATCAATCATGTGTCTCAAATATCTGTCACCTGGTGGTGCATCTTCTTGCCAGTTCCTCTAACAAAAGGAACACATGAAAGTAATATTTAATTAAACATTTAAATCACGCGTCTCTTTTATAGTTAGTAACGGCTAGCTAGCTCAGCGGTAGAGCATCGCAGCGCATACTATGAGGCGTGCGCCGCTTCTCCCAAAAGAAGCAGCGCGTGCCTCGTGCTTCACGAAGAGTTGGGTTCGAGTCCCAAGCTGGCCATAGTAATACCGCTATGTTTGTTTTTCCTCGTCTATTATCGAGACATACATACTCCATGGCTGGGCAGAACCCATCCAGGATTCAAGTCGGAGGGGTTATCGGTGAGATTTCTTTTTTATCTACATGTTTTTCCTAATTCCCCATGCGTTGGAATCGTGCCATGTCAACCATTGAGTGGTGTAGATGGTTGATATTCTCCGAAACAGCAAGACAGGAAGAAGCAGCATCATTTAGATGGGTAAATTGTAGCAGATGTTTTCTCCAATCCTGAGTTCATGACAAAGACAACATTGCAGTGCTGGATTGCAAACAGTGGTCAAGATACGCAAAAGATGAGCGTACCAAAAGTTAAAAGGAGCCCTCTTTACAACAGTGACCGAGACAGGGGTCGAACCTGCAATCTCCTGATAATCCTCCATGACAGGAAGTCGTAGTCAGACGCGATGCCATTTCGCCACACGGCCATGGGCCTTGAATCACCAGTAGTGCATGTCGGAATGTGGCGATGCGAATGGCCCTCCGTGCGCATTGCAATTGTGACCTTATTGAATCTAAGCCTGTTGAAGATATTCCTGGATTCTGCATCTGTGGTCCGCCCAGCCGACAGAGTGGAGCATGGTGTAATTGGAGGGTATGGGCCGTGTGGCGAAATGGCATCGCGTCTGACTACGACTTCCTGTCACGGAGGATTATCAGGAGATTGCAGGTTCGACCCCTGTCTCGGTCATTCACATCATCGTCAGAGATGTTGCTCTGTTTTTCATATTCCCCGCACGTGTACCCTGAAATTCTATCTGGGAAGAATATTAACAATATTCGAGCTCGCAGTCAGCATAACTACTTTCTTCAGGTTTTTGTTCAACTATGTAGCTTCCCTCACTGCGGAATGAACTTGAGATTCACTTCAAAAACCAGATCGTCCATACACAATATATAATAGCAATTTACAGTTGGTGGCGGGTTAGCGAGATCGATGACTTAGCAACTCAGGTCGAGGAGGTGCACGCACAGCTAAAGGTTGAACGGTTCCCCCGAAAATGGGGATAATTATGACAACAGATATGAAATCCAGGAATACGAGGAAACGAAAGTTCTTAAGGTACTGTGCCGATGCTTGCCTTCCGAGGCCCACTGCCAAGTTGCGGACGTTCAAGGAAACTGATTTATGAATATGTAAAAAAACAGCGATAATCACGTTTTACGCTCAACGCTAGTTACGAAGTTCACAGAATGCGTAATTAGAGAAGGAATGGGATGACAGCGCGACGCTCAGGGGGGTACGTTGCCCCAAACCGATCACGATACCACTTGTGACCTCGAACGGCACGAGGAAGCATTAAAACGACCTCGTTCAGGAAGAATATGTATGGGGGCGTAAGTGAAGGCGCAAAGGATGCAGCAGGCGTCTGAACGAACGCTCGCAGGCTCTCAAAGACCGACGAAGGCAACAATGGCGTTACGGAGAGTGATGCGAGGGAAAGGGGGGCCGGTGATGTAGCTATGGCAAAACCTGCCCATTCAATCCACTCGCATAGGTAGTTCGGATACGACACGAGCGAGTAGAGGCCACCATGCGGGATGGCGTAATGCTCTGCGGATGAACCATCACGAGCCTTTCCCTTGGAACGCGCCTTGCGACGAATGTTGAGCAGAATTTCATCATGCCATATGTTTCCCGCGGCGCCAAGCGCCCAAAGCGCTATGCCCAGGATGAAAGTGGGGCGAGTTAAAGCATTGGTGAGGTAGGCGCGGGCAGCAGATGAGGCGAGGTAGGTGCCGAGAAGAAAACCGTTGATGACGTTGAACATGATGCCTGACAAAGGTACTATAACGTGCGATTTGGAACGAGAAGGCGTACGAAGTGGGGAGAGAAGTGCGCGATTGACGTAGTGCAGCAAGTAGAGAGAGGCGCATAGGGATTGCACAGAGAAAAGAGGAGGCCTAGTGGGCGATGAGAGGAGAGTATATAGGAAGGATGTGGGCGCCACAAGCTCCATTGCAATCCATGATTTTACACCTAAGCATTCAATTGCAAGCCCATTAGTGAATGCACTTGGGTTAAACTTTAAATGTAACACACCGTCAACAAGCAAGATGCTTGACTGATTTGTGGGCGTGAAGCGGCCAAAAGGTGCATTTATGATGAATGTACATGGCGCCACGGTGAGGGAAGTCAAAACGAAGTATTTTCGAGCCACATTGTAGGTGGACATGACTTGAACAGCACAAAAGGAGGTTGATCGGTATCATGTGGTATTCTTAAAAACAGGCATAAACACGACACGTCCAAATTAGGAATCAAGTTTGCCCTTCACAGTTGCATTCCAATCATTGAATTAGATAGTAGTAGTAAGGGGCAAGCCCAAGAACCTGAAGGTCTGCGCTCCTGCTCCCAAAAAGACACAACTAGAATGGGTGATCAAGGCGGGAGCAGATAATGATATATAGGCTATAGTACAAGACACTCATCCATTCGTAGTAATGGGTAGTATAAAGTGTCAGAAGAGCTTGTATATGATAGGTATAGAGTATGCATGAGGAGATCAAAGTAGCACAAAATATGAAAAAGTAGAGTCGTGATAAAACAAGGACAGAAACAAACAAAAAGGAGGGTGCCAAATGAGGGAGCAAGTCTCGATACAAGGTGAGGTGACCTCTCGCTGTCAAGAATACGTCAAGGAGAGTGGCGGGCCATGAGGCCTGGGCAAGGGTAGCAGCAGCAAAGACGCGGAGACTGGGTTGCCGAACTCGGCGTAGCGCCGAGGAGGACCAATGCGATATGAATCCTCAACTCGGGGGGACCTATGTCGTAGTGTGGCGGTAGCGGAGCACAAATATCAGTATCATGATAAGGCACGATCGAAAGAGATTCGTGAGATGCAGGTCGTAGATGGATCGTGATGACATTCAGAGTGAGATGATGATTAGATGGAAATTGATCATGGTGAAGATGGATGACGATGATGCGAGGTGGTGGTTGAGGAGTTGCGGCGTGTGTATGCAAGAAAAAGAGTGCGAGTGTGACGGTGCAGCGAGTGTTTACGAGAAATATCTAGAAAGAAAGAAAAGGGTTAGTACAGGTCGAGAAACGAGTTGAAGGAAAATGAAACAGGACAAAAAGAAGGGAGGAAAGAAACAGATGGTCGCGCTCGAGAACCAAAGAGGCAGTGTGCAAGGGGGCAGGCCTAGAACTACGCCCCCAAAAACGGCGGCGAGAAGCCTCCGCACACACGTCGAATCCACGGCAACGTAGTACAAAGTTGTGCTGCGGCCACACGGTGCCATCCCACATCTGTCACTGGCGCCATATCACCTGACGTATCGATTGTGGCTGGGCGCGACCATCTGCCAGCCGTCATCCTCGTCGTCGGGGGGTCCGAAAACAAGAAACCGGGAAACCCGAGAAGAATTCGAAAAAAACGGAAGCAGACATATACGTAGTAGATGCAGATGATGGATTTTCCGTGCGGACCGTGCTCGTGAAAGTAGGATCTATGCAAATGCGAATAACTGATTGAGGTGATGATGACGATCAGGAAGTATGGTGATGCAGATGAGGATGATGAGATAAGTAGTAGTACATAATAGAATGAGGACGAGATGATGATGACGAGATGTGTGTATGATGGAATGAAAAGTAATAGAGCAGAGCAGAGGCGCCAGCGCAATAAAAATAACAATAAAAGAAAAAAGAAGACTAGAGGATGGGGAAAGGTTCTCACCGAACCGGACCGGGGCTCCAAGCAGCAAAGAACAAAAATCATAGGATGCCTGAGTCTTTCAGAGCATTCTGGAGAATGGTCTCCTTGACGGCAGCGAAGACTAGCCGGATGTTTTGCGTATCGGTTGCTTGTGTAAGACTAAATGTAGTACGGTCAGCAGCACCTCTGAGGAAAGGTAAGACGGAACACTAACTGTGGATACACACTCAACCTTGCCCGGTTTGCATGCATGAACCTCCACAGGACATACTTCGCCGCCTTGTTGATGTCTGCACCTCCCGTGTACTCTGGGAAATACCTCTCCAGTGGCACTTTGGGGAGCTTGCTCTTGAAAACGTCTATCTTGTTGAGGAAGAGGATGATCGATGTGCGCAAGAACCATCGGGAGTTGATGACAGATTCGAAGAGAACGAGAGATTCAGTCATCCGGTTCTGAGTTTTCTCCTCAAGAAGCACCTGGTCGTATTCGGAGAGCGCGGTGCAGAAGATTATACTTGTCACGCTTTCGAAGCAGTGTATCCACTTTTTTCGCTCCGAGCGCTGGCCACCTACATCAAACATGTGTATTCTCAAGAAATGTTAGTCGGGAAATGATTGAAAACACGAGGAAGGACATACGATAATTGGCCCACGACGAACCGGGTCTCAACAATGCCCAGACTCTTCTGCCGCGCGCGAAGAACATCAGTCTCGTTTGGACGATATCCTGGAGTGCCTATCCGTAGCACCTCTCCAAAGAAGCTATGCATTTCATTAATTGGGAATAGGGGAAGAGCAGAAAGGGGAACATACTATGACGCCGAATCCATCAAATAGAAATCGCTCGAATGCTCATCCATAACCTTTGGAATGACCGGATCCTTCCACACTTGGTGTATCGCGCTCGCTACTGCAGGATCGAATTCGGCTTGGGAGTCTATCCGGTATGCAAGTATATGGTCGGCGAGTACCCGGTTTGGAAGCTCGGCGCAATCCAGTCCGAGTTTGCGCATATAATGAACGACGGATTGAGCAGAGTCGAGCAGGTTCTTATAAATGACTGGTCGAAACTCGAGGAGCTCTGAGGGCGAGTAGCCACCTTGATGTATAATCTTCATTTGTTTGACGATAGTGGATTTGCCCGATTCGCCGGACCCTGCGGGGGTAAAGGTGGTAAGTTTCGATGAAATCAATTTGGAGTCAATATAGGATAAGATATGAAAAACATGATATGCTCTGAAAGCCGTGGAGTCAATGTGGCCAGTCGCCACGGCGCCATGGAGAAACGACAAAGGTTTACGACGGAGAAGCTTACCTAGTAGGAGAATCTTGCACTCCTTTTTGAATTTCTTGTTATCCTCTTCCAATTGCTTGTCAATGAGATCCGAGCGCTCCTTCCCAGCGCGGTCTGCCGTCGATACGCAATTACCCATCTCAATTCGTCTCTATCACAACTTGTAACCCCAAAAGCAAAGTGATCGTCGTCCTCAATTTCTGTTCGCAGGGGAGTCCTGGAGAAAAATGGCGCCCAACGGCGAGGGGAGGAAAAGCCGGGAGGATACGGCGGTGGTGGTGGTGGTGGTGGTTAGATTGAAAGGTTTGGCAGTTGTGGGATGTCGAAAGGCAGGCCTGAAAGAACCGACCACTTGATTGATGATCGTAATTATTCCCGATTTGGTTTAAATTAGACACCGGCCGGTTGTTGAAAAAGTCACGTCACACGGCACCCGTAACGTGACGTGACGCCACACATTTGCCGAACG